TATCTGACTGCAGAATCTGTGTTCCTGCCCTCCTCCTCCTCCTAGTGCTGCAGTTTCTAGGAGGAGCATCCTGTGAGGAGAAGAGACCAGGATGCAGGGATGCTGTGCCATCGGCCCTTAGACTGTCCCCTGCCAGCTGGCCTGTTTTTGTCCCCAGATGCCCACTTCTGTGTGTGGAGATGAGACTCATGAGTTTGGGGGCTTTGAGGCATCCAGGCATCATTTCCTGGAGCAGCACTGCTGTTCTTAGCCTTTTGGGTCATCCTGGCACAATATTCAGGTTAGTGGCTCAGCAGACCTTTCTGCCTGCAGCTCCCTGGGTAGGGAACCAGGGCCCCTGGGGAAGGACAGGCTTGTTGAACCTGAGATCCCACAGCAAGAATAGCTGATGGAGGGAGGCTAGTGCATTTGAGATAACAGGCTCCCTTTGGGGGATTTGGTTTTCAGTTTGCACCAGGCCACTTTTATCTCCGTCTCTAGAGCTCAGCCAGGAGCCTCCCCTCTCCCAGAAGGGGGGTGTTTGAACAAGGGTGTGCACAGAAAGTCCATTCAGCAGAGGGTATTGGCTTCCTGGCTTGGAAAGCCTTGGATATTATGGAATGGGAGGCTGAGCTAGAGACCCAGAGTTGGGGCAGTGGAAATGGCTCTGTCGTGGCTGGCTAGAGCTGAGGTCTGGTGCATCAGGGCTTCATTCCAGAGTCACCCCTACCACAGGCTGCTGTTGCCTGCCTCTTGCAGACTTGGTGTGGGGTCAGTGTCTCTGGCCACCAGCCTGAGGCCACATGGACAGTTCTTACCAAGCTTTTTAGCTGGGCAGGCCTGTACCCCCATTAGTTTGCTCATCCCTTGGCTAAGGCTTGGTCTGGAGAACAGAAGTTGGGGAGTGGGGGCGGTTTGTTTGGAGAAGCAGTTTCACTTTGGGATGATGTGCTCACGTGGCACTTTGAACTTTGATGTTCTGTGCTTTCCCTAGACATTTTGGAGGGCACCCAGGCCTCCAACAGGTCTGTGTAGTACTCCTCGAGGGAGCGGGCTGAGCTATTAAGAGAGCCTGGGGTGGGATCCTGCCCAAGGACATGGTGGGCCAGGCTTAGGTATGGGGACACTCTGTGTGTCTGCTTGCACAGTGGGCTCACCATGGATGGTATTCTTGGTAAGGCATACACTGCCCCATTGTGACAACCATATTCCTTCCTGGCAGGTGGGCTGTGCCAGCAGCTGGCTCTTGGTTTTCACTTTCGTTGAAACGGCTGAGTTTTGAGTCAAACAAGTTTTCAAGGTGACATTGACTTTGCAGCCAAGGACATCAGTCGGTTTCAGTGGCACTCTATGGTTTACTTGTGACAAGATTAACCAGTCTAACCTTGTAGCCTTTCATTCTGCTGCCAAGCAAAAAGTGCCAAATAATTCCAGACAGTTGAAGCAGAATTGACCCTGGGGTGCCGTTGGCTGTCCTTATTTGACAGGGTAGAACCCAGAAGTTGGGGAGTCTTGTCTGAAGCCTTGTGGGGGCCGAATTTGAATCTGTAACAGCCTGTCTGACCTGAGCCCTCTCCAGGTCCAGCATTTGGGTCCCTGACACCATGCTGTCGGCCATGGCCAATGCTTAACTTGGGTCTGAGTCTTCTCAGGCTGCTATAGCAGCAAGACCTTAGCACGGATAACTTAGGAACAACAGAAATTCACTTCTTTTTTTCTAGAAGCCGAGAAGTCCACCATTACCCCACCAGCAGGGCCATGTCTGGTGAGGGCCTGTTATTAACAAGTGGCACTTCCTTGCTGTGTCCTCACATGGCAAAGGGAAAGATGAGCTCCCTTGGTCCTCTTTTATCAGGACACTGGTCCCACTCATGATGAATTCACCCTCACAACCTAATCACCTCTCAAAGGCTCCCACCTTTTAACACTGTTGCGTTGAGGATTTGCATCAACATTGGAATTTGGGGAGGTACACAGTCAGAACACATACGCTGTCACATTGGCCACAAGGTCACGACCTCCCTGCTGCACCTGGCCTGCACCCTGCTGGAAAAGATCAGCAGGATGACTCGAGCAGGAGAGAGAAGATGACCGTAGCGTGGAGCGCTGAGCACTGGGAGTTTTCTGTTCACGTTATAGCTCACGGAATCATGATACGTGTGCAGGCATCCAGCAAAGTAAAGAGATGTGGCAGTAGCCAGAGCTGTTGGCGTCAAGGCCTTAAAAGCCAGTCTCCTTAGAACCCTGTCATAGCATGTCACTCAAGATGCTCAGGCCCAGACTACACACCTATTCAGGCAAAGAAACAGACTGCTCAGCCTGGGTCGCCTAAGGGTGGGCCAGGCTCTGGGCTCATGGGTTCTTGACTGGTCCTGGCCTCAATCTTGGGCCCCATCCATCCAATCCAGTGCAGCCTAGCTCAGGGACACATACACAAGTTGAGGCTGCCAGGACTGGGCCATTTTCCCACTTTCTTATGCCCTGCTCAGTTCTTCTGTCTTATCTCAGGCTGGTCAAGAGAGTGGCTGTGAGTCAGAAGGGCCCTCAGAACCACTTCCTTTGCAGGCATCTGGGGCCCCCACCCTACCAGGTACCAGGTTTGCATTCAGAATTGCTGCTCTTTTATCCAAGCCCAATCTGACAGTGTTGAAGACCATGGGAGCTGTGTTGCTGTGGTGAGGGAAGGGATGTGCTCTGCTGGCTGCATCGAGTCCAACCCAACCCATGCAGGGGCTGGCAGGTGGCCTGGGCCATCATTTCAGAACTAATTGGTAGCGTGGCTGCTCTCTCCTGATCGCCATTGCTGAGCCCCTTAGTACTTTTCAGCCTTTACTGTTCTTCCATAATCAGAAGGTTCCAAGAGAAGTGAACCTATCAGAAGAGTGTCTCCTGCACAGTGCTCAAAAACACTGAGTGTGCCCATGGCAGGTGTAGCCACCTGCCTTCAGAGAGTGCCTTTTATTCCTTGTCTGCTGCATCTGTTCTAACAGCGCATTTGCTGTGCCAGCTGGTGGTCATCTTTATTTCAAAGCAACACACAAACACTGTGGGTTTTGAAAGGACCAGTGCTCCTGGGACAGGTCTGTGCTCTTGGCATTTGTAGGCAAAGCGTGGTGGGGCTTCCAGGTCTCTGTGCAAGGGAGAAGTGGGAGCCTGCTGTTCCTCTTTCCTGTGCAACTCTTCCTTCTCTGAGAAGGGATCTGGTTGCTGTGGGTCCTTTGGGAATGTCTGGGGCTGGACCATGGGTGTCACTCACTGCCACAGTCTCCGTCCTGTCTGCTGCAGGATCGAGCTTTGTCTGGAGAATGGGTCTAATTTTGTGCTTAGTCAAGAAGGCCGAAGTTCAGGTGCACCCATCTGTGCACACTGTTAGTGACTGTGCACTCTGGCCAGTGACTTCAAGCAGGACTGGCCCTACTCGGAGGGCCAGCCATGTTCAATCTCATTCATCACTCAGACAGGCAAGGAAGCTCTTTTGCAGCTATGTTCTCTTTCTCTCTCTCATCTCCAAGGGACCTGTAGGACAGAACAGGTGGGAACTATCACATGCCCTTCACATGAGGCCACAGAGGTTCCCAGCTGGTGAGAGATGAAGCAGCCTGAGCCTGGTCCTTCCCCCAGCAGAGCAGTGCCCCTCTGGCCCGGTGCTGTGAAAGGCCCAGGGACACTGCCATGTAGAGAAGCAGCATCTTTGTCTCCAGGCAGGGCTTAAGAGCCAGCTCCCCTGATGGTTCTGACTCATACTAGGGTCAGGACATTGGCTTAATGCCCCCTGCCTTGCCCTACCTGGGCATGGGAAGTGGATGGGGTGGATATAGTGGTCCCTGTGTGCAGCAGCCTGGCAGTGTTTCTGTGTAACTTGGGCCCCTTCTCATGGGGAACGTTGTTTTGTACCAGTATGTTCATTGCTGCCTGTTCTGTGTAAGTGGCTACATAGTGACCCGGCCTCAAAATGCACTTTATTTCACCATCCTGTAGGAATTTGGGTTACTCTCGTCGTTTCTGTGCATTAGCATGAGTAAGGATATTCACTGAGTCTGGAGATGTAATTCAGTGGTAGAAGGCATGTGTGAGGCCCTGGGTCCAGTCCCCAGCACCAAAAAAGTGCGTGCGCACCCACACACAAAAGGTGTTGCTGAATTTTTGCAATTTGTCTTCTTAAAATACAAATCCTAGTACAGTCAGCTTTATGCATTCATGGGTTCCACATCCTCAGATTCAACCAATCTCAGATAAAAAATATTCAGAAAAAAATTGTGCCTGTATTGAACATGTACAGACTTTTTTCTTGTCATGATTTCCTAAACAATAACATAACAACAACTACACAGCACCTACACTGTAGCAGGTAGTGAAAGTAACCTGGGATATTCTGAGGTGTAGAATAGGGTTGTGTAGGTCTGGGCAGATTCTGTGTCATTTTACTTAAGAACTTACATCAGCATTAAGGAGGGGTCCTAGAACCAGGCCTAGATAATGAGGGGTGACACTAGTGAAACCGCCTTATCCAGGACCAGGTACATTTTTTACCAGAACACCTTCCTGAGAGGCTGAGCCCCATATAAATTGTTATGAGTGTCTCTGTTCTCACTGCAGGGTGTCCCTTCCCACTCCCTTGCCCTGAACTAGGGTCCATCGCATTTTTGCTCTGCCAGTCAAGTAGGTGAATTTTGCTTTTTTTTTTTTTTTTTTTTGGTGGTACTAGGATTTGAACTCTGGGCTTTATGCTTGCCAGGCAGGAGCTCTACCACTTGAGCCACATTTCCAGCCCTGAATTTTGCATTTCTCTATGGGTTGCAGATACCATGTCTTCTTAAAGTAGTGCTGGAAGAAGAGGGTAGCTATTGAGAGGATGTGTTCGCTGGACCAGGCATTTCTCTGTGAGGGAGCCCAGGATTCAGTGGTCTGGCCAGAGTTGTCAGACCAGGTGCCAGCTAGGTTTTGGCTGGCTTTGTAGGGTGTTTGGGTCTGGGTTTCAGGAGAGTGGCCCTTCAGTGACCTGTATGTCTGTCTCTCCACAGAACTGTCAGACTTTCAGCAGCCTCAGCTGCCTGAGCACAGGGATGGAGGACCGAGGCCTGCAGAGCCCCTTCCCTCTCATCAGCAGCACGCGCTCCTGGACCGCCTTGCTCTCAGCCTCCAGCCCAGGGGGCAGGACCCCGGCTGGGACCCCAGTCCCTGAACCTCTTCCCCCATCCTTTGATGGCCTCCTTGCCTGCCAGGAGGACCTGTCCTGTGAGGAGTCAGATGGCTGCACCTTGGACGAGGAGTGTGGCAGGAGGGGGGAGCCAGCCACAGCTTGGCAGGACCGCGGGACCACTGGGAACAGCCTCTGCTCCCTGGATGGCGAGCTGGACATTGAACAGATAGAGAACAACTGAGTTGCGGCGGGGGGGGGGGGTCTATGGGCCCTGATTTGGGGTGGAGGTGCTTCCCTCTGGGCTCAAGGGGGACACTTGAAAGGGGAGCCCAGCTCCTGGGCCTGGTGATAGTTTCCTGAAGGGTGTCAGGTTTCCAGGAGGGAGCCCACCAGCTTCCCAGGGAGAGACCACTGCCCTGCAGTGCCCTGGCTCCATGAGGGTTGACTTGGCCACACCTGGTGGACTGGTCAGCCTCCACCTGCTATCAGACACGTCGGCCACCAGGCCCATAGAACTACTGTAGCCCAAGACAGCTTTTTGGTTTGGTCTTTTCTGCCTTGTTCCTCACGGGATGTTGGGTTGCCATTCCCCAGCAGGGCTGGGCCCATGCTGCATCCCTCGGGTGGGGACGTCAGGGCCCCTGCTCAGGGCTGGGGCCAGCTCTCTTTTGGCCTCGCTCAGGTTCAGTCTGGGGAGTCGCCCATAGCTTCCTTCACTCAGTTTATTCCGTGCCTTCTCTCCCACGTCTCCCTACTCCAGGCTTGGGAAGGTTCGGGAGACTCCTCCTGTAGTGACACCAGAACCGTGTGGCCTTAATCCATGTGTGGGCACCGGCAGGGCCCTCAAGGGGGTAAGCCCGTGCCTGGACTCCCAGGTCAGAGGGACCCCTGGGGTGCTTGTTAGAGGCCACCCACCCTGGGTAGAACTTGGTGAATTTGTTGGCTGGAAAAGCAGTCTCACTTGCCTCTCCCATGGCAGGGAGAGTCCCCCACAGCTGTCACTTCAGGGGCAGCCTCATCCCTGAGGGACGAGCTTCGTGGATTCAGCTGAGTGTAGCGGTGTCATGACAAAAGGGCGACCTCTTAAGTGTCCTCAGGAGATAGGAAGTACGAGTGGGTGCATAGGCCTAGGCCCTGTGCACATTTCAGGACTGAGGGTAGTCTGCTGGCTGCTCTGTGGGGGCCTGGAATGGGGGCCAGTGGGCCCCCTGCCATATCCCTAGCACATTCTCGCTTGTTCGCAAGCACTGCTGGCTTTAATCAAAGTGCACCGTCCACCTCACGACCCTCACCCCTTGCCTGTTAAGGGAAGTGTAGTCCTAGGTGCCACCTCCCCAAGCAGGCCCAGCCACGGTTGGCTTGACTCACACTGGCTTGACTTGCACTCGCACCCTCCTGGCTCCTCACTCTGGCACAGCCCCCTGAGGCCGTGCACTCAAGCAGCTTCCCTGGCCCATCCTGCAGACAGGACACAGGGCTCTGGGAACCTAGCTTTTAACAAACTTGGCATCTTCACAGACAATAGCAAGTGGACTGACTTTTGAGTGAGTGGCTCATTTTCCCATAGGCTAAAAATAACTGGTGTGCTCTCCTGAGCTTGCAGACATGTGATCTAAGCACTTTTGTAGTCACCCTGCTGTGCCATCTTCTGGGAGCTTCTCCTGGTAGAGCCCAAGTGGTTCTCACCTTTCTCCTAAAGAAAGAAAGATCCTATTTGGGAAGCTGTGTTTAAAGCTTCACTTGTGACTGACTACACCCAGGGTGATGGCTCAGGCTCTGATGTGTAGATAAGATGGCCATTCTTTAAAATCAGCCGTAAGATGCGTGCCGGAAGCCCCACTCTAGCAGCCCACCAAGATGTGCACAGCCTCAGGTGGGGCACATGGTGTGTTTCTCATGGCACAGAGTAGGTCCTGCAGTGCTGGGACCAGATTGTCTCAGAGGCACTGAAAAGCCAAACAAGAGCTGGTGGTTCTGGGTGGGGAGAAGCATTGGGCCTGACCCCTGCCTGGCAGGTTATGGAGGCCATGTCTTCTCAGAGCGACTCTGGAGAGGAGGGTACTTGTTGAGAGGATGTGAAGAGCACACGCCCATGGCCTCATGGCCCCAGAAGGCCCAGGGTGGGAGGTTCTGGTACCTGGAGTGGCCACAGTAGGAACACAGCCCCAGCAGTAGGCCTTCCTCTGGAAGATCCATTCTGTAGGTCTGCCAAGGCTGACGTGTAGTATTGCTGCCAGCTGTGTCTTCTAAGGAGTAGACTAGAGGTGCCTAGGGCAGGTGTGTGTCATTGAGTGTAGTGTAGGTGGCCTGTGGTCAGATATCCTCCCCTCAGGCCTGACAGCAGAGTCAGCCTTATCCTTCTAGTTCCCTGAAAGCCAGTCCCAGCAACCAGCAGACCATCCCCAGGGCAGAAATGAGCCAGGCCCAGGGGAGGAATTGGCCCTTCCAGACTCCTCAGGGCCCCTCTAGACTGTACCAGTCCCACCAAAGCTCCTAGTCCAAGACTGTGACAGCCACTGTCAAGGAGAAGATGATTTGGGGCTGGGCGGGGAGAGAGGGGTGTCTTTTCTGCTTAGAGAAATGGCCTTTAATGAACTTGGGGTTGTGTTTTGACTAGACAGAGCAGGCCCTATCTAGAAGGTGCCTCACTGTCTTCTCCACAGCCATGCTACCCAGAGAGGCCCATTTCCATACTCTGCTCTGCTGGCCCCATGTAGCAGGCAGGCAGGCTCCCCACCAGCACTGTGGCCTCAGCCAGCAGCAGCAATAGGCACCTCACTCTTGTCAGACCTATCCCACCTCTTAACTGGAAGCTGAGGACATGGCAGGGTCCTGGAGGATGGCCTGTGCCAGCAGCATGGGGAAGAGGGACCTTCTGTCACATGGCTTTCCTCATCCAAAGCCAGTGAATTGACAGGAGCTGCTGGGTGCCTAGCTTGGGGTCAGGGCCACAGCCTAACCGTTTACATGACCGCACACCCTCTTGCCTTACTCTTGGGCAGTGGAGGCCGGAGCCCATGGGGAAGACTCACACCCAGGCCCCAGGGAGCTTGTGTTGACTATACGTATACATTTTCACTCTCAGAAAGCCTTACTTTTCAATAAAATTTTTGTAGTAGGAAAGTTTTGTGAATTTGTATGCTAAAAGAAAATTTAAAGGAAAAATCCACATTAAGAAGAAAACCCCCAATTTTCTAGATGAGCCTCCTACTGGAGGTGGGTGTGATTTTCCACGGTGCATTCCAGGGCCTGGCCTGCCTGAGCAAGCCTCACAGCAGTTAAACACACCCCTGGGTCCCGTGCCCCATTTCCACTACGGAGGTTAAAGTCACATGCACTCCGTGGTCACGGGAATGAGCTCCCAGACAGTGACCGCTTCAGAAGTTAGCCTCCTGGGACAGCAGTCAGCCTGATACGGGGCTCAGGGAACCCTGCCTGGTCACTCCACCCGCGTGGGCAGTGACGTAGCACCTGGCCCCAGCCACACTGCCAGTCCAGCCTCACCTGCTGCGCCAGTCCACGAGAGCCTTGCCTGTAAAGAGAGAAGAGGAAGGTGGCTAGGAAAGTTGCAGACGGAGATGGAGTGCTCTTAGCCTAGGTAGGATAGTCTGACCTGGCAACTGAGTTGTGTCGTCGGTGCGTGGGGGTGACGTGCAGGGCTGGGGATAGGCACGGGGGCTGTGCGGGCATGGTGCATTCTGTCCCTGCTGGGCAGTGCTAGTGGCGTAGAGCTTCAGGAAGCGTGGTGCCTGTGCAGTGCTAGGCCAGGCCCCCGCCACGGCAAAGCGGTCTGCGTGATGGGGCGCTGGGTTTTTCTGCTACCGCCCGCTACAGCCTGTCCTCCCTGCACAGGCCACGACTGTCTTGCACTAGAGCCGCTCTAGTCTCAGGAATTTGCTTGTTACTTTTACTGTGTAAATAAAGCTTCCTGGTTCAATACCCAGCTTCCTGGGCACTGCTGTGTGGCTTCTGTTGGGTGTGGTGAACTGGGAGGGGCACAGGCTGGATCCTCTGTCCCCACAGGATCGTGGAAGTGGCTGTGGAACAGCTGCAAGGGGTGAGGGGTCTCCCCGCAGCCACAGCTGCCATCTTGGGGAGGCTTCTGGAGGCATGCCATCTGTGTGGACCAACACTTGGGTCAGTGTGTGCATTTGAGAGCAGAGGAGCCCAGCCCCTCACTCCAGCCAGGAGCCAGGACCCTAGGCCAGCAGAGGGGAGACGCTCCCACTGTCATTTCTCTTAGAGCAGTGGACAGGGCTGCCCTATGAGCACATCAGCTCAGCCTTCGACCTGGCTGGGGCGCAAGGCTGCATGGCAGTTTTAGGTCTTGCTGCTGAGAAGGACCCCACCTGGCCTGGAGCCCTGCAGGATCCCAGGTGACTCAGGAGGCTGCACAGGCAGGGCTGGCAGCTCAGGGCCTCTGCCCCCATGGAGGGGCACATCTCCACTGCTTGGGCTCTGGGACACCAGAGCATGCAGCTCAGCCCAGCATGTGCACATGGCCCTGTGCCTGGCCCTAGAAACCAGGGACCCCAGGGAACCAGACTTGGGAGGTGCAGGGTGTCAGCAGACCAGAGGACAGGCTGGAGAGACAGGTTGAATGTCCATAACTCTTGTGTTTTCCCCATCACCTGGCCTTGCAATCTTTGCCTAGACCCTCTGCTAGGCCCTGAGGGATACCCCTCTGGGAATGAGGCCCTGGAGCACTCTTTTCTCTTGTTTTTTCTTTTTAGCTCATGGTACTTTTTCAGACAAAATGATTTATGAACATCCAATTCAAGAAACAGGTGAAGCAAGGCTGCTGGAGGTGAACAGCACCCAAGGCCCAAGGACCCACTGACGTCAGGCTGGGCATCTTGACCTTCCCAAGCCTCACTTCTCTGGTAGATAACTGACAGGGCAGAGGTTAAGGGGGGCTTCTGCCAAGCACAGTGGCCCCGACATGTTCCCCTCCTGAGGGTGGCCACAGAACAGCCCTGGATGACCCTCTTGCCCCAATAGCCCTTTACCATGACATTGGGGTCCCTGTTGGCTCTAGCTGACCTTGGTCCAGGGGTGAATGCCTACCTCACTGCCCTGGCACCTTCCCCCCAGCACTGCATCTTCTGCACCAAGGCTGGCTGAAACTAGGATGCGGCTCCACTCTGCCCCGCCTTTGGACGGCCGCAGGCCTCCCTGTCTGCAGCCCTCAAGCTGGGCCAGCTCTCAGATGCATCTGATGTGTGGCCTTGGTGGTGAACTGTGACGTGGGCCCACCCTCTGCGCAGGCTCCTCACTGTACGCAGTGGGGTCTTGAGCAAGTTGATGTGATCCTTGGCATGCTGGGGAGCAGCCCTGTCCAGAAGGGATGTGGAAAGAAGACCTAAAGGAAGTGCCCCTGCCAGGACAGTGGCCAGAATGCCTTCTGGTTTCTTTACACTTTTCCTGTTAGGTTTCCGACAATAAGATACACCGCTTTTATAACCTAAAAACATCAAAATTACATTTTTTTAAAAAAGAAAATGCAATGTGCCCCATGTATTTATCATGTGAGGGGGACTGGAGCTACTGATGATCACGCCGGGATGGGAAGTGGATCTGTGAGCACCCCATAGGCATGGCACGAGCATCAGTCTCTCCTGTGTCTCTAAGGTGGAGGTGCAGGAGCCTTTCCACCTGCCTGGCTCACCTGCTGGAAGGAGGGGCTGCAGCAGCCAGGGCTGGGCCCCTTACCACATCCCCACGAGCTGGTGATGGCTCGGCAGCTGGAAGAACCAGGGGAGAGGCCACTCCACTTCTGGGCAGCTTCATCACCTTGGGTAGGCAGCAGGGTAAGGGCCATTAGCTCCAGAGGGCCGAGGGTACCCAGGGCTCAGTGTGTCCCTGTGGAGGAATGAGTCCAATTTTACAGATGGGGGACGGAGGCTCAGGGCTACTACCTGACTCCGCACAGATGGGCTGGACCCCAGCCGCCAGAGTAGTGCATCTGGGAAGAGAGGACACCTGTGCGCTGGCTCTGCAGAAAACCACAGCCACTGGGGTCACCATAGGCCATACTCACAGGAGTTTGGAAGAGAGGGGAGATAGCATTTCCGAAGGCATTGGAAAGGGCAGAAGATGTGGGGCAAGACCTTCATTGTGTCTCCACTCTGCCCCTTACTGCTGACCCTCGGGGAAGTCACTTTACCAGTTTACTTGCAAAAGGGAAAGAGTGACAACAACCACTTCCCTAAGCCCACTGCAGCTAAGGGCACAGTGTGTTCTCTGCCCGGACCCAGGGTTTCTGTACCCCAATCCTGGGCAACAACTTGAAAGAGGAAGATCAGCCTTTCTGGAGAGACTAGCCTCCTTCAGAGGGCCACCCTGGCTACATCCACCAAGGAGAGCTAGCGGGGAAGCCCGCTGAATACGAGAAAGGCCCACAGGACAAACACTAGCACTTGCGAGGGCAGATTCTGTAGCCCAAACCCCCCACGTCCTTGGGTTCTCCTACAAGCTGCTGAGGTCGGGGCTCCACCAGGAGCAGGCCTTCTGTACGTTCCCTGGATATTAGACCAAAGGCCCTGCTTCAACACTGGCCTGGCCTGTAGCCTCTTGAAAAGAAGACTGAGCTACCATTTCCTCCTAACCCTGATCAAATGGAGCCATCTGCCTGGCAGGGCCCTCATTGGCTCACAGCTACCATGCCGGGGGGCTCGGGTTTCTGGGTCCAGTGCTTTATCACTGCCTTTGTTTAATGGAAATCCTATTACAGAAGGACCCCTACTTCTTTTATGAGACATTGTCTCCCAAGATTTATCAGTCGCTTCTCAGTGGACTTGGTGAGATGCAGAGCAATCAGCTTATCCATTCAGCTGATTGATTTTGAAACCTGAAACTTGGGTTAGGAAGGAATTCCATCCCAGAGGCCTTGTGGGGAAAGCTGCTGCTATCCGGGTGTGGAAAGTGCTGCTCACCACCGCTGGGCCTCAGTGAAGTGCCATGCTTTGGCTTAAGTGAATCCCTCTCAGAGGTTCTTGTGTTAAAGGCCTGATCCCCAGGGTGGCCAGATCAGGAGCCTAGTGGGAGGTCCTTAGGTCAGGTGGGGGTGTGTCCTCAAAAGGTACTGTGGGACACCCCTGCCCCCCCCCCGCCCCGCCACCTTTCTGCCTTACCATGTGACTTCTTGGTCTTGCATATGCTCCCACAAAAATGCCATGAGATCCTTACCAAACCCTACTCTGCTGACAATAGTGTCGTACCCTCCAAAACTGAGCGAAGCAAACCTCTTTTCTTTATAAACATAGCCTGCCACTTGTATTTTGTGGTAGTGATGAATTATTTGTCCTGGTCTGTCTGCTCTGAAGTAAGGTCCAGGGCAGCTCATTGCCTACTCTCGGCCTTAGTTTCCTCATCTGTTAGAAAGCTCAGAGCAGGTGCCCACTCTGCTGTTAGTAGCCCTACCTCATGGCAGGGCTAGAGACAGTGCCTGAGACCCTGTTCAGGGCTTCCACTCCCACCCACACCATAGGGCCCTCCAGGTAGTCAAAGCCAGAGTCAAGGCTGCTGTTCTAGGCAAAGTTTATTGGGTCATTTGTTTCTCCCGCATACACTGGGCATGCACTCAAGTCTCTCTGGTTCTGACTCCAGAGTTCCTTCTGTGCCTGCCACCTCGATTGCAGAGGTAAACTCCTGCTGTATAGGTAGGGCAGTCTTCAAAGGGCGCCTGGTAGCTGTACCGGTTTGTGTCTGCAACAGGATTGGCGGGGCTAGGAAAAGCGGTGGGCCGGCACTGTTTTGGGGTGGGAGAGTCAAGTGCTAATCAGCCACTCTGATGATGGGCAGGGTGGGGTGTCTGAGTGGAGGGTGGGGTTGCCGGGCAGTCCTAGGGAAGCTGGCTCAGCTTGGGCTGCAGGAGATGTGCACAGCAGGACCCTGGGTTTTCTCCAGGCTCCTCCCTTCAATGCAAAGGTTAAGTTAAGGGCGGTATGCCCTGCATCCCGTTAGGTGAGCACATGGTGAGGGAGTGAATTCAGGAATTACAGGGGTCCCTTCCAGCACATGCCCAGGGGTTTGTTCTTGAGGCCAAGGGAACAAACCTCTTGCTCAGGAGGGGGGAGGGGCTGAGGAACGGGTGGACTCTGGCCCAGGGGCAAGGCAGCCCAGAACTGCAGAAGGCCCACAGAAGGTGGGGCTGCCAGGGCCTGGTGGGGGAGGAGGGCAGCAGTAGGAGGAGGCTGGGTCTTCGCTGAAGGCGGTCACTTGTCCGCGTGCTGCAGCAGCAGGTCCACAGCCTCTGCGAGGTTGTCCACGTACCCATCAGCCTTCACTTCGGGATGGTGCTCGTCACTGGGCCTAGAAAGCAGGGCTGCAGGTTGGTCTAACTTTTTACAGAAGAGAGGTTTATTCTGTTTTGGAGGCTGAAAGTCCAAGGTCGGGTCATTGTTTCGGCTTCCATCGATGGATGGCATCATGGTAAAAGCGTGGAACGCGGTTCAGGAGTAGGGTCAGGCTTGCATCACAGCTCACTGACAGAACTCAGGGCCCTCCCACTAGGTCCCACCACCTCTCAAATCACCACACTGGGGTCCAGGCCTCCAACAACAAATTCTGAGGGGACATACCACATTCAAACCTCAGCAGTCAGAGACCCCAGCTTCACTGAAGCCACACTCAGGTGACTACAAGGAAGCTGCTTTCCAGCATCCATCCATTCCCTCTCCCTGGTCAGGCAGACTGGCCTGTGGCCACTGCTGTCCCCTCCTCCTCACCCCCGACTCAGACAGACACCTGCCTCCATCTGGACATCTCCCCAAACCTGCCTCCCTGTGGGAGGTGCCTGCTCAGCCCTGTGGTGGGTGATCACTGGCCTTAGCTTCAGCAGACGTGTCACTCTACTGAGCTCTGGGGGACTTCCCTCATAGCCCCGTCTGGCCTAGTGCTAGTGGGAGAAACTCAGCACATGTGTGCTGTGGAGACACCTGGAGTGTGGGTACCCTGAGCGCCTGCCTGCTCAAACACTGGGGACCAGTGTGCCGTGAGAGCCACAGGCCATGTGGTCACTCCTTTGAGGCCACTCTTGCCTGAATGGGGAGGCACCTATATTCCTGGGGAGGCTGCTCCCCAGCTAGCTCCGAAGACTTCACCATTCAGTAGACACAGGCTGCAGCCTGGCTGGATGCTGAGATGGTGCAGAAACCTGCAGGGCCTGTCGGGAGCTTGGTGGCTGAGGGCTGTGGGATGAATCCTGAAGTCAGGAAGGGGCTCCAGGTAGATGCGTGGGTGGGAGACGGGAGTCTTGCCAAAGAAGGGGTCAGGGTGGGCTTTTCCTGCCTGTCATTTGAGAACATGGGATCTCATCCCAAAGACCATGGGGCAGCCCTGGCAGGGCTGTGCGCTAGTAGGGTCCTGGCCACTGAAAGGCCCCTCCCCACTGCTCCTGGGCTCAGCCATGGCCTCACACCCAGAGGTCAGGTGGAGCTTGGCAGAAGGGGTGGCTCCTCTGCAAACCTCCCACTGCCGCGGGGTGTGCTATTGGGATCACCCCGGCCAACCAACACCACTGTACCTCAGCCACACAGCACCTCCGAAATTTCCACCCTGGCTTGGAGGCAAGTGGTTTGACATCCAAAAGCCATGCTGTTCCTTTCCAAGGGCTTGGTTTCTGCACAGGGCTTTACCCTAGAGTGACTGTCACGGCAAGGGCACTTTGTTTTAAAGGGTTTTAGCCCAGGGGCCTGGAGGCCACCCCTGGCAGGGCCCCCATGGACTGGGTGGGAACCAGAGGGGTAGGAGGCCACATGGATACCGCTTGTGACTGAGGAGGGTGCAACCTTGGGCTCTGCCCAGGTCTCATGAGACTGAGCCCTGTCCATGCACCCCCTCCAGGACCCTCACTGGCTTGGTCCCTACCACTTCACTCCTTCGGTCAGTCCCCAGCACAGCATAGCATTCAATTGGAAAACATCCGATTTCCCATGCATTCTCTAGGGAAAAGGCGATTTCTCCCATCTTACAGGTGAGAAAAGTCTCAGAGCAGCTCTGAGACTTGCTCAACGTGCACACACAACAAAAATATTTCTACATGTTCACCAACAGACTTGTGCCAGGATGCTCTGAGCAGCTTTAGTGCTAACAGAAAACAGTAAATGCACAAGGCATTCCTCAGTGGGAGTGGGAAAAGGAAATTTGCATGTTAGAATCCTATTCCTCATTTCATCCAGGATGCGTCACCAGCCCGCAAAGGACCATTCTCAGACACTGTGACAAGCCACAGAAGCTGGGCTGGAGCAATGCACACTGGTGACTCTGTAAGGGTGCCAGAACGTTCTAGATTCTGACCTGAGTGGGAAGCCAGAAGTGGGCACATGCATAAGAAGGCACATCTGATGCTCGTAACACAAGGAATCTCCCCCCACCGGTTGCTGTGTGGCCTGGGGGCTGGCAAATTGATGGTGCTGGAGCTTCTTTTTATATTTTTAAAGGGCTGTGAAAAGAAAATGCCACAAAGACTCAATGTAGTCTCCAAACCTAAAATAATTACCATTTGGCCCCTTCCTGCAGGAGAGCTTGGACTCATGGTCCTGACATCTCCACCATCCTGAATCTGGGAACACCTCCTCTTGGGAGTGGGCTCTTTGTCCTGGGGTCAGGCTGCACCTCCTGGGGGTGGGCTCCACCTCTGGGGCAGGCTGCTCCACTTCTTGGCGGAAGGCTTCTCCCTGCTTCAGCCCTCCAAGCTGCTGGGGAAAGAGAAGTGGGCAGTTCCCTCCCTGTGCTGCTGCTCAGTGGGTGCTGTGGTCATGGCTGGCCTCAGGCTGTGCAGAGACAGCTGTGCCCTGGGGCAGATGCTGCAGATGCTCCTCTTACTAGAGTCCCTGTCAGGGCAGGACAGGCGTCCAGCATTCATGGAGGAAGGGATTGTCTTCTGGGCAACTCCTCCTCCAAGATGGTGCTTGCAAGGCAGCCTGGTGGGAGGGGAGGGGCCTTCTGGAAAAGGCAGACAGAGAAGATGACATCAACAGCTACTGGGTCAGTAAGGTGCCCCTGGAAGCCACCTCTCTGCTCAATTTCCTCATTAGTGCCAGCTTCCCTGCTGGCCGTGTGGCCATGGCAAACCCCTTAAGCCTCTGTGCTGGGGTGTCCCCAGCTCTAAACTAAGGTAGTCACAGTGGGCACACAGCTCCCAGGAAGAGCAGATGAGCTGGCACCCTACGCTAGAAGGACTGGCTGGCCAGTGTGGCTGTTGTTACCTCGCCTCAGCAGTTGCCTGGGGAGTGTACTGCAGGCCAGGCTGGGGCTGGCCAGGGAGGTGGAGCAGTGGTCAGGCCCTAGCCCTTCCCTGGGCACTCAGGTCTGTGTGACATACGAGGTAGAAAAAGATGGTGGAGTGGGGAGTGGGGGCTGCCTGACCCCACAATAGGCATTGAATAGGAGAGGTAGGAAGGCTTGAAGCAGGCCCCAGGGGGATGTCCCAATGGCCTGGAGCCCAGCAGGCCTTGCAACAGGGATGGTGTGCCAAGAGTGCTTGCAGGAAGAGGCTACAGGTGCTCCACTGCTGTGCTCCAGCCTCTTGCTGCCTTAAGCATGCTGGGTGTCACTCTTCCCTGCCCCAGCCCTGCTCTTGCCTCTGCTTGGCCTTGGTGCATAAGGTTACATCCTGCATGGCCCTCAATGTGCCCTTTTGGGTTCCCTTTGCTGTCCCAGGGGGCCAGAGGGCAGCTCTGAAGCTCTGCTGATATGTGTGGGGTGCTGCAACCCCCAACTCATGAAGGAGTTGTCAGGGTGTGATAACCCCTGCTCCCCTGCCCGTTCTCCTCTGGTTCCCTCTTCCCTCCCCATAACAGGAAGGCCAGTGCACTTGCTCAAAGAAGAACAAAAATTGTCCCAGCAAACACAGTCCCCCTAATTGATCACCCAAGTCCCCCAGGGTTCCCCTCCTTGGACACCTTCACCAAGTGCTCACAGGCCAGGCTTCCTGTCCAGTCAAATGCAGTCAACCCTGTGAGGGAGACACAATTTCCTCAAACACGATGCTGTATCGAGACTCCCACCAGTTCCAGTCTGTGCCCGGCACTGAGTGAACGGCACCCATGACTTGTTACATCTAATTACTTATTTAAATTCAAGAACCGGCTAACAGAACACTGCATTAGCAGCAGGTCCCTGTTTGTCCATACACAGCAGCAGCTTTCAGGAAGCCAGGTGGGTGGCAGGGGACTTGCTCCAGGCTACCTGTCCTGAAGCAGCTCTACCCTGTCCAGGAGAGGACCCAGGTCAGTGGTGCACTGGGCCTAAAAGATGTCACTTTACAAAAAGCTGGATTAAGAAGCTCAGCAAAGGTGCCTCGTGGCAGTGAGGACAGAGAAGTGAAGCAAGAAGGACTAAGAGACCTCCCTGCCGTGAACCGGCCCTGCCAGGACAGAGCAGGACACATATGACCTAGCGGGCTGTGGGCAGGGGAAGGGCAGAAGATAGCACAGCTGGCTTGGAGGAGAGACACAATGACACACTCAGGATGGGGGTGGGGTTGGGGAACAGAGTCTGAAAACAGAGGACTACAGACAGCCTGAAGGGCTGAGTCTTTGGTATGTTCAGGCCATGGGGCCCCTGGCCACCCCGTAGCCCTGCTGTGACTTGGGGTGCCCCTCTCTCTGGACGCTGTGGGCCCAGTGAGGCTTGGCAGGAGTTCTCTGTGGGGGTCACCACACTGTCCCCGCCTGCCCCCATGCACTGTGTGACCGGGCAGGTCTCTCCACCTGCCTAACCCTTGGCTTATTCATCTCTGGGGGGTCGGGGGGTGACCACTCTACATGCCTGAAGACGAGTCTGGTGTTTGGCCTGTGCCTGGTGGACCATCGAGCCTATGCCAGTGTCTACTTCGTCTTTCTCCCCTCTGCCCTTGAGGGGGCTCATGGTCCAGTTCCACATAAAACCAGTGCTGGAAGGAAAGCAAAGGACCAGGGGTCTGAGGGCACTGATGGTTGACCAGGGGTCGGGGAAGCTTCCAGAAGAAGGGCCACGGAGTCCAGAGTCTGGCTCACATTATCCTATGGAAGGAGTAGGATGCCTTGCTCAAGTGGCCTGAAGCTGTGGCCCTAAGGTTGTGGCCAAAGTGGGGCAGAGGCGGGGTTACCAGGCACCCTGCCAGATGGTCAGCCGGTTCCCTACTCTTCTGGGTCCAACCTCCTGCAGGCAGCGAGGGCACATCCTTCCCCACATGCAGCTGCAGGACCAGGTTGGCCTGGAGTCAGCATGGCTGCCATCCTGCCCTGCCAGCTGACTGCCCCTCACGGGGGGTGTGGAGGAATCTTCTGCTCAGGTCTGTCCCCTTCTACTTGCCCCTGCCCCTCCAC